AGCAAAGCACTTTATTGAACGACTTGAAACTTTTACACAGAAATTAAATAATAATGTCTCTAAAAGCGTGTTATAAGTTTAGTAATATATGTCGTTCGTCATTCTTAATCTTGTACATTTAAAAAGGAAAGGAGTTCAAATTTATAAATGCAACGCCTCAATTAAATCTTGTATTTAAATATGCATTTAGGCAGGTTAGGCACCTTTCAATTACGTCATATCTGTCTGTCGGTCCCCAATTAATATCGCCTCAAGTTTGTGACCGACCTTGACAAAATGTAATACAGTAAACGTTATCTAAATTGTGTCGAGGTATTTTGATTTTTGTGTAGTTTAATTCGTGTAAATAGACACTTTAATTAGAGGCCTAACTTAACTTTTGCTTCTACCTTTTAAATCTTAAGATTTTGCTTGCACTTAATATGTATATAAATATTTACTTTTATTGTGAAAGAATCAAAATGGTGTAACACAATCCGAATTCATGCAGAAGTACAAAAGATTTTTAACAATCCGCCAGCCATTTAATTTTATTTGTGTAATTTTATTAAAACCGAACAGAAAATATGTGTTAATATTTTCATGTAAATTATGTGTTTCGTGTTTTTATCATATAGTACAGCTCTTCGTTAATGAGAAGCAGCGTCCTATCAGAAGCCGCACATATTTAAAACACTTTTTGTGATGGTCTTATTTTAGGCCAATACATATAAATTATTTTTTAGAAATTCACGCTATAATATAAACAAAAATTTCACAGACAGATCTAAAAATATATATTTAATGTATATTAGTAATAATTTTAATTATTTTATAAAACTATTGTGTCATATTTCGAATCATTCGTATCAGTTAGGGGCTTCCGTCTTTTCATTCATGTCAAGGGACTAAAGGAGAATGGGGACCACTGTAGTAGAGTATATGTGAGACATCGAATGTAACAGGTATCAAACCATCGCGATAAACAACAAAATTATCAAATCATCTGATGATAGGCCTACTAGTGTCCACACTACCCACTGACGTGTTTCTTGTAACAAAGAGTGTATGTGGTATAAAATGTTCACACTTTCTGTATTAGCAAGCATGTAACAGACCGAATACAGTCAGATGATAAATTAAATACATGCTAATTCATATTTACTTAAAGTGGCATTGTAAAGTGACCTTCATAAACATAAAAGCCCATTTATAGCAACTCAATGGGAAAATTAACATGATCGTAATTATTTTATCCATTGATCACCTATTCTTGTGCAAGATACAGGATACAGGAATTTCTCTTTCTCGTGAGACATAGAGAAAATCATATTCATTATTATCTTATGATCGCCAAAGCGGAAAATAAATTACATTCTTTATATTTCTTTAACGTTTTACAATTATATTAGTGTTCCCTAAGTGGATTATTTGTTTTTATTTATATTTCTTCATTTATTTTGTTCTGTGTTAATATTGTTTCTATTTTGGATTTGCCTGTACTTGGCAGTTATATTTAATACCGTACATGTATAAGTTTAGTTCATCTGTTAGTGTACTATTCTTCATTATTATTTCATTATTATTGTATGTATTATCAGTGTTTGCCTGTTGTTGGCTTCTTGCTGTTGGCAAACACGTAAATAAATTAATTGAATTGAATTGAATAAAAACAAAACGCTAATTACAGGGGCCGAACGTTCTAAATCGTTCACATTTTGGAATATCAAAATACTGGGATCGTGGGTTTGTAACTTATCCGAGGCATGGTTGTTTTCCCAGTGTCCTGTAAATTTAGGGGTATTGCGCTGGGTAGATCCCATATACACGGAAAACTAACAGTTGTCTGAAAGGATTTATAGGTTCAGTGTTTAACTTTTAATCTGAACAGGTCAGAGCGTCAAATATGTATACGAATGATAGGAAAGAAAATAATGTTGAAATCCTCATTTTCTGTTAGTAACAGCAGAAGATCTAAACGTATTATTTTCGTATCTCTTAGTAGCTATCTTCTTTAGAGTAGAGAAGAATAAATAAATCACCCGGGCGGACAAACGTTATCCCAATGGACAGACCCTTTATACCGGTTAGAAAATCAAACTCCAACCTACACAGAAACGGTTTTCCAGTCTGAGTGTTCTATTTCCAATTAGACCCAAGAATTATTACACGACTCGACTAGACAGTGCTATTAATATGTCAGCATTATAAGATTTAATATTCTTAAAGGAACGGAAGAGCTCTCTCTCTGTTCAATTTATTCTAACTTGCAAATATAGACCTATATGGGAAACAATGCTTGCACATAGACTGCCTCTTTCTTATAACTTATGTATTTTTCTCAGTAATATTTAAAGTTTACAGACGTCCAGCTTTTATAAGGAAAAAAATTTGATCAATTTTATGATGAAGGTGGAAAGCAAAGTTGCTTTTGGTATCTTTCAAATACCACGCCATAAAGACATATTTCGAACTGAAGGTATAGTCTGTTCCACGCTGTGTCCACTTTGCCCCTGCTTTTGTTCCCTGTTTTGTAGATTAAATAGTAAAAATACAAGATAACATTTGTGCCGTCGTGAAATTAGGTCCCACGCTACCGGTATTTGGAAACAGGGTGCAGAGGAAATTCTTTTATCTCAGAGGGAACATGGAGAATTTTTTTAGAAAGCCGTGCTTAATAATATCTTCGCTTTACCTGATATGGTTATAACAAGGAGCCTCTTCCGCGTGGTCCACCTCAACAGACAACAGAAAGTTACGTCCTCGAGTTTAACAATGGTAGCTGACAGTAGCGTAACTTAAAGTATAAAAAGAAAAAACCGTACTCTAAAGCCTTGAATCCAAAATACAATGGGAAGTAAATTCTGAATTGGAAATTGTTTGTAATGAACACGGAATTATTCCAAAATGGTAGCCCAGTTAGCTTTATAACGTTGTTTTATATTTACTGGGAATATCCACTGTAATTTCCTGTGACACTTTATTCGAACTTTCCTACGCAGACACAATTAAATATACCCCCACTTCTTCAATGCTGGCCTTCCTGTATTTGTCTTGTTTTCCAAATCACATTAAAGAGCTTCAACTGAGAAGAAAGCTGATTAGAACAAGTGCTCGAGTGATCACACTAAAAACACAATACGCCACGACATACAATTCTCTGCTTGAAGTAGAAAGCACGTCAAATTAACGCGAAGCGTGTGTGAAGTAATGTTCAGAATGTCACCTTGGAAAATATTTAATTATAAACACAATCAAGAACAACATGTCTCCCTCTGAAATTCACAATCAGTGACAGGAGATGGCAGGACCATAAATTCGTTTTTGTCAGATAATCCAGAATAGAATTTCTAGTGGATGTAAGTTGGTCTCCAAAACCCATTCTCTTCCATTGCAATGGAATTGTGTTCTTGAGCGTGTCTCATTGTGCAAGCATTGATCAAAATAAGAACTGGATGGGCAAGGTATGTAACACGCATGGAAGAGACAGGATGGATGTGTATGGAAAAATTTAGTCAGAAATCTTGAAGGAAAGAGAACACGAGAGAGGTAGACACAGAATGGAGGATAATAATTAAAATGAATTTTAGACAAATAAGACATGATAATGTTCCCGGGATATATCTGTCTCTGGACAGGGACCTATGGCAATCCAAACGCTGTATGTTCCTTCGAGTTCAATAAAGTTTGGAACTTTCTCGATTACCTGAGCGAATATAAGTTCTCACAAAATACCTTGCTCCGTGGAGTTAGGTGCAACTCAGTTTCCTGAAATACGAGACAAATATTGTACTCACGGTACAGTTTGATGCTACCATCCGTATCGCCGAGGGAATTCTTGGAGACGCATTTGTAGGAGCCGAAGTCTGAAGGGGCGACCACACGGATTGTTAGCTTCATGTGTACCTTATACGCATTGTCCAGCAACACTGGTTCGTATTTACCACCTGGTGAAGAACAATACATTAATAGGTATATATTGAAAACTGGTTTCCCTAATTAAGGTTATTATATACTAGAACCTACGAAAATCACTGGGACGCGCCGTAGAAAAATCCATCTGGCAAGAAATATTGCGGTCATACAGATGACTTTAATAATACGTAGAAAATGTCATAAAAACCGAGAACTAAGAATGGGTTCTTTTGAAAATTAATTTTTAACGACAAACCAGAAAGAATAAAGCACAAGATGCCCTTATAAAGATTAGTTGAGGAATATCGATCAGGACTGGTAACTAAAGATGGCGCTGATGACAATGATGTTTACGTATTTTATGGAGTTGGCCTACCTGTCTAGCCATCAGCACACTTAACTTTCTGTTTCCTTCATGACAGTCCATGAATCAGTAGGATAAGGAGACTTGTTTGTATAGATCCCCGCTGAAACAGGCTACAGCAACAAATAAACAAACAAACAAACAAAAAAGCATTAGATGCGAAATGTTGGTAAATCACTTTCAATATCTATGCTGACTTCATACGTTTTATCCCAGACTGCGCTCAGTGTTTCCCTAAGGAGGGCTAGACGTTGGCCGCTGAACTCAACACCTCTTCCAATGAAATAATGAATATTTCAAAAGAACTGGCAGTGTGAACGGACGGCACTTTGCTGCAAGAACTTCGTCACGGGTCCACGGATAAATTGAACAGGTGCGGTTGGATGCAGGGGATTTGTGTGCGAGAGAGATGGGGGAGGGCCCTAAGAGAACCTAGAGAGTAATGGGGTACTCCTTCCTTCGACACTCGCAGTAGAGAAGCTTCTAATGAAGAATTCATAGGTCAGAAATCGGGAAACTGCCCGCCCGATCGATGAAGTTGCCTCTGCAGAAACGTCTTGCAGTTCTCACGTTAACTGAACATCTCAGAATTGGAAGAATTATATGTAGCACGAGCATCAGACCTTAGCTATGGAGTACCTGCTTTATGTATCTCATGCGATTACGGATTTACGGATTCATTTTGTATCGAAATCTTTTCAGTGGGTGTAAGTTCCATTATAACAAAAAAATACACATTCTTCAAAATTGTGTAGTAGAGTTCTATTTACCTAGCTGTTGAACGAGAAACCTGACAAATCTTAAACGAGATTGAAAAATATAATACATTTCACTATACGTTATTAACCACAATTAATATGTCTTCTGCATGAACAATGATTAAATTACAAGTGCCCGTTTCGAGACAAATGGTCACTCGCGTGACTTCTCTGGATGGGTCTTACTGGAATATTATTTATTCGTAGTTTATTTAACGACGTTGTCAATAACTCAGACTGTACGTTGCAGAATAATAGAATGACTAGTGAATAATATCTTCGAAATTATGTGGAAGGAAGCGGTCGTGGCTCAATTTACGGCTGGAAGTGTTGAGGAAAACCATAAATGCTACTTTACACGTCCGAGTATGTGTTCGATACAGATTCATCATATATAAGCCTATATGCCTAATTTTAAGGTACAATATCTTCCATAATCATCAAAATGAATATTTCTTTTTCTTAATTTCAACTAACATACATATTACACAGGACGAATTAAAATTTAATACATCGACAAAAGCACGGATCTACTTTCTGCTGTATCAGTTGCCTGGCACGAACTGTGTGAGTCCATTAGTTGGTATTTCTTTCGTTTTTTTTAATTTACGTCGATATCCCAACAGAATTCCTTACTTACTCTTTTCATGATTGAATTCCTATTGAATACTGAATACATGGGGGAGAAGTCTGTGCTCCTGGGCTCCAAAGGAACACCAAGTCTAACCCTTCAAACTGGTTTAAAGCTAAGACATCCTCATACATTCTAGATACGAATCTGAAATCTTTCCTTTTTATATAAACGTCTTATCCACGCTTTCAGCAGTTTGATTTATAGCCTTTTACCACGTTCAGAACAGATGTACAGCAATGGTCATATAAATTATAAGCTGTAATTTAAAGGAGATGGTCTCTTCCATGCATATATGCAGACCTTTTATGGCGCCATTATTTCCCAAGGAATTGTAATTTCTATGCTGATTTTAAATGATATATTTGAGTACCTTTGCATTTTCTTACAGCAAGTTAATATGTAAGCCCAGTCGTTAAATGCTTCAGAATAGCTCTTTAGATTGTGACCTTCGTCCACGCACAAAAATCCATAACATCGCTCACCCCAGGATTTCTCATAAAAATTCTAATTGAATAGCGAGATTTAGCACAAGTTTAAAAAAGTTTTTTCTTATAATAGTTTCCTCCTTCGCAACCGAGAACAGAACACAGTCTGTTTAAAAGATTATATCTTCCTCTGTTATAAACAAGAGGAACATTTATTGCCATCCTCCAGACCTGTGCCATACACGGGAAGTTTCTTTAAACATTTCAACAAATATCCTACGTTATGGAGTTTGTTAATTAGTAAAGGAAGTTGCTTGATTAGCCTAAAGGGAAAACTATAAAGCATGAGTCATGAACACTTACGTTCATTGCGTTAGGTAGGACTATCGCTGAAAATCTCTAACAAAGGTACTGCAAGCGAAAATAGAAAGCAATCCAAATATTCCCTGAAAACAGCTGACATTACTGGCACAAGTTACGAACAATAAAGACCAGACTACGTAATTTTCAGGTTTGCGAAATAAATGTAAGTAATCTCGTTACTGACAATTGCTTCTACGATGTAAAAACACTATTAAAACATCCTATAAAGTTTCTTTGAAGAAACAGCCTGCTGGTACGCTAAATTCTTTTACTGCTGGAAACTGTAACTATGTTACAGTTTATTATTATTATTATTATTATTATTATTATTATTAGTTATTATTACTACTGCTACTACTATTATTTTAGGAAAATGTATTATCATTCATCCTTATAGTAATTAGATTGTCCTATAATATAAGCAATCTACAGTATCTCCATAAATATCATGACACATTTTGGAGACATCAACTGCAAAGAAATAACATTTAATTCAATTAATTCAATTCAATTAATTTATTTACGTGTTTGCCAACAGCAAGAAGCCAATAACAGGCAAACACTGATAATATATACTTCGAAATATTATCTACAAAAACTGCTCTACTATACATCATAATCGTGAAACCAGTTTTCGGCTCGTCCGAAGCGAACAACGTTCCACATTACAATTGACATTCAGTTACAGGCCATGTTGTTCCAGTATTGTCTTCTACATACTAAAATACAACAATACAACAACAATGGACACATTACCTACCAGCACTGATGGCAAATATTAAATAGTATTAATTAACTACGTATCATGTTCTCTAATATTCGCCAAATATAAAAGTTTATTTGAAAATACCACAGGGAAGTTTCAAATGTGAATTTTTGTTAACGAAAGTTAAATCGTGAACAGCAAGTTTTATAATTTATAATGCCCTAATAGCTGCTACATTAATCAGTAACGTGTTAACAATCTGAGAAGTAATGTTGAAACCATGCAGCAGGGCCTGATGACGTTTTTCTTCTGGAATGGAAACTTCGTCATTCTATTGTTTGAAAGTTTCTGAAACAGTTTCTTCCTCTTTCAGGAATTGTTTGTCTCTTGCTGTCATGGACGCAGAAGTTTCGGGCGTTGGTCATTTATTAAAAGGGTAACTTTGTGATTCACTTCAGGACATTTCATTGCCATTTATCTTTGAGCCCGGTAGAGGAAACCACGAGTACCACTGTACTTGATTTGTTACTTAGTCCATATATCTTAATGATATGCTTCATCTCTGGAGCTGAAATGCTTTTAAGGTTTCATATAACAGACTTATTCCTTCGTTCTCGCTCAAGAGCTACACGTAAAAATTCATAACTACTCTGTGCCTCATCCGTGTGTTTTTTGTATTTCCTATTGTAATTTCCCGTGTTTCACATAGGAACAATTGTTTTTAATATTCAACAGTTTTTTTGATGACAGAGCTAATCAAATTAGGTATTTAAATGAAATAAATGCAATTAAAACAATTTAAGCATATTTGTAGTGTGATGTTTCCATTTTTAGAAACGGTGTGGAATAATAGTTATCTGCACTTTTTAAATTTATACAGAATGTGTGAACACGATTTAAAATAAATGTGATCAGTTGTTGAGACATGTAATAAAGTTCGATTCAATCTTCGTGTACAGAATATGTCACAGTGGGCAGCTACATTGAAACTCCTACGTATTTTTTATTCAAGTGGATAATTGATTTACAAAGTTTGGTGGATTATACAAAATTGGAATTTCTATAATGTTTATAAACGCTTGCACCAGAATAAGATAGAGATAATAAAAAGTAGAGAGTAGCTCTAAACACTACATTTAGCGTGGGACATAAATTTAATTTTATTCACGGCTACGAAGGTCCCCAGGCAGTGTCCGCTCGTCCTTCTGGTAAAGATAGGTTTAGTGAAGAAAAGATTTTCCGAACCGGAGAAGTTAAAGGACCAAAAAGAGAAGTTGAGAAGGATTATACTGCATTCTTAAGCAACTCTGAATTCTGATATTACCCTTGGGAGCCAACATTTGGTACAATTTTTATGTTCATAAGGTAGGTACTTCAGGGCAAAATTTTGACGTTAACATTGGGAGGACTGCATAGAAAGCAACGTGATTTTCTCTAGGACTGAGGCATGGAGAACCTTGGCCGATCGCCGGACCTCCCGGATGCCCACAGACTTCTAGTCAGCGTTCCGGAATTTAAATAAGCAAGCCCTAACGGTATTTCTAACTATCCTTCTGCTTTATTTCAATTTGAAATTGATTACATGGTTTTATATATATGTGTGGATAAAAACGGACAATTTAGTCCGTTGCCCATTGAAGCCAAAGTTCGTGCAAAAATATTTACGAATTCAGTCCGTACCGCAAAGAAAACACTACAATTTATCATTGGAAATATCAATTTGTTGATGTTGTTTAAATAATTTACAGCTGCTTACAGTGAAAAACATGCAAGACCCATAAATATAAAACATACAGTTATTGATCATTGAAGCAGATGGCACGTATAGCAACTGGTAGGTTTTAAAGGATTAAGAGCAAAATTGGAGGTCTGCCCATAAGCAGAAGCCATCAGTTCTGTTAATCTCAATTAGTTCCACACCATATTCGAGGAAGAGACGTTCAGAAGAGAACTTCGTCCCTAGGGTTGACACAAAGATGTTTGTTTTCATCTCGACGAATATAGTTGCTCGTCTCGTATTCCAAAGGCAGGGCCTCTCTGCCATAACACGGAATCAAGTACTGGTGTAACGTCTCAATATGAGATAACTCGAAATTTTCTTCACTCCGTTTAAAATGCACTTCAGCTGAAAATGTGATTACAAGTCGTGCTACTGGTTTCCATATCATTAAAGTTGATATGTAAGACGGAAAGAAAAGGGGACAACTATCATGTAACCTACCACCAGTCAAGTGTCACTAGATCTCGTTTTTGACCTATGTCATAAAAGCAGATGAAGTTTTTGATCGTAAAATGTTCGACCGTCATGTTTTACGGCTCCATCCAGTCCTAGAGGGGAGCGAAGTGTAATCGAATTCCAGTTTGTATCACCAACGTACCTCGTCATTCTCCATTACACCAAGTATATGAGCTAACAAGATACTCGAATGCAGTAGCTTCCTGAAGTCACCTAAGCCTCGTGTTTGTGTTACGTGCAGGGGGAAAATAAATTTTACGAGTGTTTAGAGACACACTACAATCCAAAAAGATTTCTATATAACCAGTGACCTTGGTGTTCATTTTGTTGCATCAAAACGAGTAGTAGCTACACTACTGATGTAACACAATACAAATTCAGAATCTATTAACATTCTTTCCTTTTTTAAATATCCTCCACATTAAAAGAGGTTCCAAATAAATGTTATAGATCACAATGGGACCTACATTTTATTTCACATTATGTACCATTTTCCAGAACATCGATTTCATGGGTAATTTTGAACGGATACCAAACAAACAAGTAATTCGACCGACAGTTTTAATATAGTGTTATAACCCTGATTTAAGCTGGAATCCTTTTATTAGGTTTGGAGAAATATGACGCCTGCAAAAATTTTCACTATACGCATTCACCTCATGTAATTAACGCAAGAAAGGTCAAACAAAGTCATTATAATGTGTTTTACATCTCCATACATAAAATCATAAATATTAGTATCAAATGGACTTGCTGCGAAAAACTGAGTCCTATTATAAGCCACACACCTATGCAATATTAATTTTATATTGAGCACTAAATTAATCAATCAAACAATTTTAATACATTTTAACCAGTCTGTTTCTACTTGATCGTTCTTCTTAGCTGGTCTTACCTTGTGCTATGATTTCGCCTTTGTCTCTAGTCCAGTAGTTGATTGACTTTGGGTATGCTTCTGAGTGACATTCAAGTGTCATCTGCTGACCTTCATGTGCTCCAACCAATTGATTCTGTATCCAAATCATTGGAGGAACTGTAATCAGTAATCAGATAGCAGTAACTGCATTGAATATTTCTGTCTTCTGGGTTGTTGCGCTGCGTAGTCTGGTCGATGTTAACCAAAGTTTCGGAGGTCATACTGCCTCCATCATCAGGGCGACACAGCGGTGAGGATGAAGATTTCTGTCTTCTGGGTTGGTGCGCTGCGTAGTCTGGTCGATGTTAACCAAAGTTTCGGAGGTCATACTGCCTCCATCATCAGGGCGACACAGCGGTGAGGATGAAGATTTCTGTCTTCTGAGTTGTTGCGCTGTGTAGTCAGGTAGATGGTTACCAACATTTCAGAGGGCATACTGCCTTCGTCATCAGGGCGATGAACATCGACCAGACTACACAGCGCAACAACCCCGAAGACAGAAATCTTCATACTCATCGCTGTGAGAACCTCAAGTCTTACAAGTTATTATTCGTGAATGATAATAGATGACAGAGAGGAAGGTCAGTTAACAAATTGCACTGGCTTACGACAACACAGTGTAGCTACTTATAATCGTCATATATGAGGCTACAGTATCTAAAATGATCAGATTGTATGTGAAAAATTAAATTTCATGCATTAATAGACTGTTTACTTTTTTGATGTTTTATCACAAAAACCTTAAAAAAATTTGTTCAATACATAAAGAGCAATGCAGTCCAGCGACATGAAACACCTCCTATTCGGTTGGTTAAAAATAACTTGCTTAATTTCGTTGAAATATCTTCGAGTAATATTCTATGAACTTACAATGGACGATAAGCATTATCCTCTTGCTCACTGTGGGCGGAACACCGTTGGTCGCAATGCAGAGGTATGCTCCCATATGCAACCGGTTGACCCGGGTAATGTTGAACACTGCGCCCTCCACGCTGGCTACTGAAATACACGTTTCAAATGTTCTGATACAAAGCAGGCTGTACCCTGCCGCTATGCTGCTTCCATAACAAATATGTAAACGAAAACAACTATGCTAAACAGCATAACAATTGTCTTCCGTTAGTTATGATTTTGAAATTTAGATAATTCATAAAAAAATTCACAAAACAGAAGAGAAATCTGATAACAGACACTGTCACGATTTTAAAACGAAAATTTTTAATGTGATAGATCCACTGTTCTATGAAATAGCTACAAAACTAGCCAGCGCTAAAAACACTAATGTGGTACGCATCGAAATATAATTTTCGTGCATGAAGTAGTAGGGAGAAAGTTAACAATGGTATATGGGAGACAATTCTTATTACACGAAGTGGAAGGCGTGGTGAAACGATATACACAGAGAGCATTGGTTTAGCGAGCCGAATAAAATAAATGTGATTGCAGAACATTTCCCTGAGTTACTGTTATTACCCTCAATATGTTATTGTGCATGGACATAAGTACCACAAAGTTATCCGTGCATATCGTATCTCGTTATGTTCTAGACGATAATGGTCTGATATCGGCAGTTTAGGTTAAATTCTCCACTAGGCATGTCACACTGAAGAATATCTAGAGGTAATTTATATGACCAAAATAAATCAATTTAGCGATCAATATTTTAGTAGACCGACGTTATATATAATCGTGTACACGTTGAACTTAGTTGGTGCATTTAACCGGAAAATGACATAAAATTTCATGAAAAGCAGACAAATGTTAACATTTCGAAATACTGCTAAGCAAAAACTGTTTAACCTGAACACTGAAAGGAAAATTTTAACTTTTCAATTTATTGTAATAACATACGGCATCACTCATCATGCATCACTGAATATCAAAATACTGTACATTTTAATAAACAAGAATATCAGTTTTCAGAATGAAATAATGATTTGTTAATTTCTAATGCTTCTAACTGTTTCCGAATAGCCTACACGCACATATATTATGAAGGGATACAACTGATTGTGTGATTATTTTACGATCCCATATCAACTGCAGAGCTTATAAAGTGCCGAACAAGAATGATGAGTGACGAAATATTTGGAAGAAGACACTCATGGTCTATGTCAAGGTTTTATTCCGAAATTTGACTAGTGTGGCTAATAATATCAACAAAAACCTAAGTGATGGTCACCGAATTCGGTCGTTATTCGGGCAGTGTGCCCTTGGAATTCAAAACTGATAGATCGGAACAGGTTAAGACACTAGGCTATTTACTATGGTCAGAACAACTTGTAAAGAAAGAATACACATAAAAATAGTATTAAAATATATTAAAATTGTCCGTCAATCACAATAAAGTAATATAAGATAATTAAATGGTTAAATTATTATCTTTTGTTCCGTATCGAGTACGCGATTTACATATGGAACATTCTCGACATGTTTCGGCTTTCATAGAGCCGTCATCAGGTGTATGTTATAAACTCGTAACTCAATTACTAATTTTTAATTTTCTTATCATTTCTTCGTTTTTCACATTGTATAAACATTTGTTGTTGTGTTATATATCATTGATACAATCGTATTGTCGGAGTGATGTTAATGCTGCGTATATTGGTCTGTGAATTAAAGGATTCGAAACCATTAATGAAATTGAATATAGAAAACAAAATAAATAAATGAAAGTAAACGTATAAACTTACCAGAGAAGTAATATCGAAGTTGTAAGAGGATACAATGTGAAAAACGAAGAAATGATAAGAAAATTAAAAATTAGTAATTGAATTAAGAGTTTATAACATACACCTGATGACGGCTCTATGAAAGCCGAAATATGTCGAGAATGTTCCATATGTAAATCGAGTACTCGATACGGAACAAAGGATAATATTTTAACCATTTAATTATCTTATATTACTTTATTGTGATTGACGGACAATTTTAATATATTTTAATACTATTTTTAAATAAAATCACAATATGACGCACCTACAATATCTTATAAAAAAATACACAGCTACAAATAAATACGAGTGGTCTTATTAATGTTATAATTAGATCGCAGTTCCTTTCAGACTTAATCTGCGTATTTGGTTAAATAGTCACATCAGGCTATCAAGCGTTCTTGGTTCGAAAGGCATGACTAATAAGTGTAAAAATGCACAGAGAATACACAGTGTTGCATTTAAACTAAAGTACTTCGAAGACTATATGTTATTTCGAATATTTAATGCAAACACGTTGAAAAGAATTCATGAAAGCGAAAGTAAATTTTTTGTGATGTTGCCGAATGAAGTAGTTGCTATGCGGGCCTTAACCAGCATAAAGTTTAACTATTTTAGACCGATATATTACAGAGCCGTCATACATTAAAATTTTCATTCTATTGGCTTCACGTTTAAATTAAATTATCTTCTGCTGGGCGGATCCAATACGACCGATTATACATTTACATCGTGAAAAAGTTTTACGAGGGGCTTCTGAAAGTTAAGTTTTCACGGCATATTTCTATAAGCTATTCACTGAATCTTATACGATGATAACGCAGCAATATATGTATTACATTTAAACCAGTTTAGTACACAGTTATCGTAATACATACGCATATAAACATATATTCTTTAAAAACAATTAATTCGCACGTCCACTGAGAGAATTTCACAGAAAAATACATTGAAATTTATTTGTTTCTTTCCTACGCCTGCTTATTCTACAACTACCACCGCTACAACTACTACTATCACTACTATTATTACTACCAACACCACCACAAATATTATAATTATAATTATAATTACCATCTTTCATGGATTATAATCTCTGACATTTTTCGATTCAGATTTACTACTGAAAGACAGAATACTTTAGCCAATTAGTGGAACTCCTTAACGGATAGACCTGTCTAAAGGCCTCGTCCTACAGCGCACAAATCAGCGGATATTCATTCTTGCGGGATTAAGTCGAGCGATCATAACGACCAATGATCATAATGACCTTAGGCCATACGTGCCTTTTCACGTGCGTCGATTATATAGAGTCGTTCTTCTTGTGATCATTATTATTATTATACTTATTTGATGTTTATTTAACGACGTTGTTACTAGCTAAGAGTATAGAATAGTTAATGTTTAACGAATTGGAAAGTATATGGAAGGAGACGAACGTAGGCCTCCTATCCTGCCATTTGCCAGGAGGGTCTCAGAAAAGATACAGACAAATCAATCAGGATAGCCGGTCTCGAGACAGATACTGAATGCCGGGACCTATCGGATGTATAGTGGCTGTGCTAAGCATTCAGCTGCAACGTTCGAAATTATTACAATAATTATTATTACCAACGTTGTTTTTCATTAATTTACAAATACATTTTGTTAACACTTGACTAACTAATTTTGAGTTACAAACATAATTTTACTGTAAATTTCTGATTTAGAATTTATTGTTCAATGTAAGTGGTATTTATAATGTTCGTAAAATGAGGAATTAATGCTTACCTAAAAAATATTTGCATTTTTAAACCAAATGTTATAACGTTAAGTACGTTTATGCGAGTCGGTTGATTTCTTATATCCTATATGTTAATTTACTTTATTTCATTTCATAGTTTACAATTTACTATCTGTTCTCGTTCCTTCAGCATGTTTAAGGAATTGTCAGTTGCCAGAACTCGTTTTATTCTTCCCAGAATTTTAGTTAAGTAAAGTGTAACATCCTTCCGCTTCAATTAATGTTCGCTTTTGCGAGCACCATCCCACAGTGTCAATCCGGAAATAAGTTAGCACGTCGTTACTGTCGAGTAAAATGAGAGACAGAGAAACTTAAGCTTCTGTGTTGCTAGTTTACATTTCCTGCCACAACTGTATCTACGTCTTGTTCACTAAGCAACAGACATATTTAACCAGTAAATACACAAGAAATATGATAGGAAACAAAATAAACAATATATCTTCACAGCAAACAAACTTTGAAATATGGCGTATGGGAAAAGTCCACTTGGAAGACCAAGAAGGAAGTGGGAAGATAATTTTCAGAGTAGGTCTTTGAGAGAGAAGTTGAGAGGATGGGAGTTGCGTTGAAAGTTTTGGTTATGTTACATGTTAATTTAGTTATTTTTTATTTATTTAATAGTGCAGTCAATACTGGTCTTCTCAGTTGTAACGCCGCCTACCTGTAAGTCCGCACGGCGTTGCAACCCAGAAGACCAACGAAGTTTCCTTCAGAATATCAAACCTCGTGTTTTTCGATAATGTCGTGATGTCGTGAACGGCTAATCACATTTGACACTGGGCATAAATGCGTGTCTCCTACCTTCCTGACCAGCGCCCATTGGAATACTTTCGCCACCCTCACGACGCCAGGTCACGGTGGGTTGAGGTGACCCCGTCGCGGCGCAACGAAGTGTCACGTTCGTCCCTTCACGCACCACCATGTCCGTGCTGGTGGGGTAGTCCAGAATATCCGGTGGCACTGCACATTCGAACACAATTAACACACCAAATGAAGACATTTAATGCCATCTGATGATGAAAATGTAAAACAGGCGTACAGTCAAACATCCATTACCCAAGCCAACTGGTGACGGACCTGTTCCAGATTATCGATTTGCTTCTAAAATCGACTGAATGGTCCTTCTGTTATTTAACGATACTATTTACACTGCAGATAAGATGAAAAATTATCATGAATTGTGGATTGGTGAAGGTTTTGGGAGGACGAGTCGTGTCTGTTTCTCAGAGATTCGAAATTGTTATTTAAATAATAAGACCCTGGACGGTTATCAATTCACCAGTATATTTGGCAATAGATCAGTAACTCAATTATTTAAGTATACAGAGGTTTGTTGGTTTTAATAATTGGCACACAGAAACTGATTGAAGTATTAATGAAGCAAATAGGATTCAGGATGTGTATAACAATGTATCTAACTCCAAGGATCAGAGTTCATCTTGAAAAGATGATGGTTTGCTTAGTTATTCAAATAATTCCTTATATTTTACGGAAACCGAGGGCTAATTAATTTCTTCGAAGGAGCCCGCTGACGGTTCACATCCGACGCCAGTTAAATCCAGTCCCCACTCCACATTCTTAAGTTAAATTTTAATATTATCCTCCTGTATATTCCTGGATCTTGCTGGATACAAAATATCTCTCCAACCACATAATTCATAATATGATTTTCGAAGTAATACTTGGAGGAAAGTTCAAATTGTGATGGTCCTAATATTCATCGTTAAGGAATTTTACAGAACGAAGTCTCCCTCCAACTCCCCCATCCTCATCTGCAGATGGAGAGAGAAAAATTCGGTCCCTGCCACAGGGCATTATACACGTTTGGTTTTTATTGTTGATGCTTCTCAGAAGCACCACCCACAAATTCGATGTCTCAGGCTATCGGACGCTTTGCTTTGTGCCATTTCCGTGGTCTCTCTACGGCCTGTTTGTGGCAGCAACTTCCCGATATCAGCACGCACCAGTTAGAGTGTTTATACAAGCCACAAACAATCTACAAGTCAGGCATAGAGAGGCGTTAAATTGCTTCTCTGTAGTAGACCAATGCAGTGTTATACGATACTATTGCTATTTTACATACATTTGCATGTTATTACCTCACAAATCGAGTGTAACTTAAAGCTGAGAGACAGGAGATACCATTGAGTTAAAATCCGTCTGCATATATAAACTACAACGTGTTTTTACATTCCATTTAAGAACTTGTAAACTTGTTGTATTTAACCGAAGTGGAAACAGCTTTCATAAAAATATTAAATGTAATTATTTCTAGCGTAATGAATAATCTCGTAAATGTATCTTTATAACGTCAGCGACGAAATATCCTGACACTGTTTTCATTGCCAACTTTTGACAATTGAGACAAATATGGTAATGTTAACACAAATTACTGCGTACCTGACATAAGACAAGGAAATAATGACATGTTTGCGAGCTAGCCAAATAGTTTCTCTGTCATGGTCAGAGTAACTTAAGTAAACACTTTTCAAGTTGCGGAAGTTTGTACAAAATCATTTCGTTTTTGAAGACTGCAGTCATCTCGAATGAGCAGTGTACCCTCGTAGAAATTGGCCGACATTTTAGATGAATAAGCGACGGGTAAGCCACGCGCAAAAAAGTAAGGATCACGCCGAACAAGGCAGGAACTTGGCTAAGCTCTTCGCCCTGATGAACAAGGACTTCTGAAATGTCGGTCAGTTTCTACGCGACTACACGGAACATCCCAGAATACCGCCATAATCAAACTCAACACCGAGAAAATCTCAAATTTCAGAATTTAAATCTCAGTTTTAGAATGAATTTTTGTTAGCAACTTTATCGCAGTATTTTAAAGCTGAAAGCACATTTAATTACTCTGGGCATATAAATATTATTCTTAACAATTCTCTTCTTTCTAATAATTTTAAATCTACTATTAACTCCTCTAAAATATCCCATAACAGATATTTATCACGTGATAAATGTTTTTACGATGAATGGTATGTTATGACGTGTGAAAGTACAGATATGGTCCCACTGTGTAGCTTCCACGCCGTCACGGTTACAAATGCGATCACATTGGACCATTGACATCTAATTACAGTCTCTGTAAAGGTCACTGGGCACAATTCTGACACGCAAAGCAAGGCTCCCTTAGTCTGCCTGAACTTTTGGAACACGAAACGATTTCCGATTTAAATCTAGCGCAACAAATTTACGCCGAGTCACATTTGTATTGTATATACGCAATGATTGAAGGTGACGTTGATGATGCACATTGGAGGCATTGCAGAGATGGGAGGTTCTTACACTTCAATGAAAAGATACCCACTTAACTTGACATATAAATATCTGACACTTTTAAGAATGATTATAGTAACACAAAATACGTTATTTGATCGTTGGCTATGAATTTTTATTTCCCACAGGATAGTTTTCATAAATAGCCACGAAACTACAACTCGAATGTCAAGGACATAATGATTATAATCATTAAAACTCTAGTTTTATTAACTTTATAAAAATTCTATAATAGCATGCGAAGTTCTGTGCGTGTTGAAATTCTTATCACACCGAAGTATTATATACAACGCTGCTGATTAAATTATTCAGCAAGCATAGGGTATTACCAAATGTACATTTTGTTACATCATTTCAAAGTTATGCATTCTTCTCAAGCAGTGCATAAAGTGAGAGCATAATAATCAGTCTTTTCCGTACACATCTATCGACATATTTCTTCTCTGAAGCTTTTGGGTTGATTTAAATTATATTTATATATGGAGTCTGTACGGACAGATGCCAAGTAAATTTAATTTTAATCCATATGGATATTGTCTATCATACGGAACACACATAAAACATGAAAATTTTTATTAAATGCCTCATTATATAACAGATCTTAAAATTATATCAGATATGAATTGAATCAATTTACGATACTGTATAACCTTTACACTTGATTCAATTTTAGGTGTGTTCCTAACTGAAGGTACAAGACTTCACCCATTAACTTCCCCACGTCCGTCTGTCTATATGTCTGTCTGTATGAAACAACTCGAGAATCGATATACTGATTGTAATGAATGTAAGATTTCAGATTCTCACTATGCACCGTGTAGTATTATAGAAATTGATGGACATTTACCGACTTTTCAGACATGCTTATTATCTCTATCTGCGGCAGTAAGCACATCTATACGCCTGAACATTCTAGAAGACGAGTCATCTGATTCTAACAACATTTATACCAGAATTTTACTAAAGTCTATGTACACATTCCTATTTTAGTTATAATCATTACTTTATGTACTTTGTTATTGTCTCACAATCACGTTCTTTTATCAGTATTTTATCACTGTTCTTGTGATATAACCTACGGTCCGAGCCAGCATTAATATTCATTTCTATATAGATCCGGCTTCTAACACCCTCAAATTTGTTTAGACTTGGGTTATTTTGCTCTATATTTAAAATTGTGTGGGGTTAAGTTTAGTTAGTGTGTTAAGTTAAAAAACTTCGTCATTTCATATCCGTACAGTGTAATATCTTTAGGGTTCCTTAGTTTGTTTTTTTTCACAAATATAACAGAAAACGAATAGTGCATAAAATAAACATCGCTGTAGCTAGCAAAAACGAAATAAAGGCATTTGTAAAATTCGTGTGTTCCAGTCGGAATACAGCGTTGCATTCTTTTCCCTTTAATATGGCAATTCTTTATTACGTCACTGTAGCATTCATGAAAAGGCTAAATATTCACAGATGACAAACACAATCAGAATGTTCAGGCTAATGGATTCAATTATCTCGTGTCTATTTTTTATTAGTCTGCTCCCACTAGTGCCTCAAAGAACTCGACCGTCCAGTTACACACAGAAACATAAACGCGCTCGGTACACGAAGCAGAAAAAATTCTGGCACCGAATGGACTTTATTTGTGCACAGAACTGTGTTGATAAGCGGTATATTTCTTGGTCTGTTACTGTAGGAGAATCTTATGCTTTCATATAAACGTTATTTATTTAATCTCTTCACTTTTTTTCTGCCGCAGTTGGGAGGCAAATATGAAAATGTACGAGGGCGAAATCTTTTATTAAAACAGAGAGAATTATAAAGTCTAACCCCCGCCCTAGACTGATAATAAAGTTCACTTGACAAATAAACATTCCGAACACTCAGCGGTTGGATATTAAAGGCTTAAATTAGGCCCACGCCACTTCACAAAATTTATCCATTTATTGTATTAGAAATAATTCATGTAAAAATACGTACAGTCATTTTAAGGTGCAACCGTCCTTCCACACTCTCGTCTCGATGTTTGTTGGTGCCACGGGTCAAACCCAGTGACATTCCAGGCGCTCGTACGGTATTACACCTTCTTCGTTTATATAAACGAGGTTAACTTGCTAAAGCATGGTTTACCCTTCATCTCAAGATTCAGCCAGTTCGGGAATCGAACTATGAACTTGGACTGGCACAAAAGGCAAATAATGCGTGAACTCAGTAGATCTGTGGCCAAATGTTCGTGTGCTACTCGACCATTCAAACAATCGGTTCGCGGGTTCCAATGCCACTAGGGTCTTGGACAAATACCGTCATTGTTATATGCAGTCTTGTTGCGTACATGTAGAGACCCATCCATGGACCTAACAGTGTGCAAACATTCCTACAAAATATCTAAAGCATTAGCTCTTTCAGAAGTAATTTAGAATCTAACAGACCAGAGACCTAGCAGTCGAAAGTCTAACAAGCAAGAAACATTGAGGAACCTTGGTCTCACGGGTTATGATAACTTGTGCAATTTAGAACGCAACCCAACAGCAATGACATACTGTGTTGCAAAAATTAAATCAGAAACATATTCACCCCCTTGCAAATGACTGTTAAACCGCCCCGTCATATTAGTGTCAAGGTCACCAGAGCTGCTTGGCCTCTAATCAGGCCTAGTCTCCATAAAGCCGTGCAGATGAGAAATTGGTGCATTTAAAATCGGAAAGTGTCTTCACTGTCGATAATTACATTCCGTCCAAATAATTTGCACCTGTTCGTGAAAAAAATACTTAAAATATTGTTGCCAACAGTGCCACAGAAACACTTCGCAAAGTCGCACAAAACACACAAGGGCACATCCTCGCATTCAAGAAGGTAATAGACTCTTTCAGCATCTGATGTAAAACTGTTCTACATATTTTTTTCAAAACGAATAAAAACTAAAAATATAGTTTTCTTGTAATATTGATTTCACCAAAGCTTAAAAATACTGTTGTAGTTCGGGCTACCATCTAGTAGTGTAGATGGCTAACAGCGTTTCGGAAGAACTTGCCACGGAGTTAATTCCTCCGTAACGTTGGTAACCATGTTCTCCATTGTTCATGATCCCCAGATAGTTCCTCCGACGTCCCCAAAACCTACTTCTTTACAAATGACCGTTTTCCCAGGGGCGTCTTTAATGTAAACTAATCGGCCACTCACCGACCACCTCGAGGTAGCCGATTTGGCTCTTCATGGGGTCAGTGTTGATCTGGCACATGTACCAGCCCCGGTCAGACTCTCTGACGTCTCTGACGTGCAGGTACCACGTGCGGTGGTCACTGTGTGTGACGCCGATACGATGGTTCTTCGTGATGACGTGACTAGCTATCGTCAGAATGGTTTGCGTGTCCACCCGTAGCCATGCCACCTACAGACAAAAAACAGTTAATTAAATCACACCTTACTGTTATCATTATTTCACACACAGGAACCACTAGAATTTAAGATGGCCGTCTAAATAGTAACTACCACTTGGCACTCACAGTTCCTTTGAGGTTATCTGAATTATTTTATCTGTTAAAGTTCAAGATGAACTGCGAATTGGGGGACAAGTGAAGTTTCAAAATGTTCTAGCATTTGCATAATACAAGAGAGGAGAGCGAAACAACTAGTCTTCAGTTTACACACCTTGCTACCCAAGTCAGTGCCATTTTGTAGCAGTAAGAGAAATGTATGCATGCACTTTTCTTACTGTCCTTGTGACATTTTAGTCTATTATTATTGATCGTATTACAGTTCCATGCCAAAATATGTGTCATTTATTTTCCTGATATTTCAGATTTTTTACAAAAATACCATCAAGTTTTAATTACGTATAATTAACTAGCTAAACAGCAAACATTACCCTTCCATTCTAGACGCAGTTAGTGTGCTAATACCTACACGGACAGTTAATGTACATCGTCACTTCAAGGTCATTTTCTCAACTAGATGTGTTTCTACTGCTAATATAAACTAGAGGAACACTTATATATTCAACAAGGATAGTACTTTGTTTAATAGAATATCTCTCTCATTCAATTCAATTTCGTTTTCGGTTCATGCCTCTGATAGGATTTCTTATTATTCTCAATCACTTAAGTAAATAAATTAATACTTAAAATAAATTCAATCGTTTTAATTTGTTGCATTCTTAAATTTTGCGTCTTAAATTATCAATTTTTAAATAACTTTCTTTCTATCGCACTGAAGTCTCAGCATTTCAGCCTTGATCAAACCTAAATGTGTTTGTGCTACGACACAGTAACTGACAAACCGTTCTACATAAGCAAGTAAATTCAAGTATGTTAATCGATCAAAGATAAATTCACAAATTTTGTGTGAAATATATTTTGTATGTTAAAAGTTACAATCACAGACACGGTGCAAAACGTTTAAATTATATCTGGCAACTTTCAGGTAGCGGAAATTTCTGTAATTAAAATAATTCTAAGAAGCAGTTCAGAAAGTTTCTGTAATTATTAGACTAACATTTCAAATATTTCTGTTGGCTTCTTTCTTAATCAGAACCTCTATCAAAGTAACCTCTTAGCGCAGAGGAACAGTGAATTCTGCTGTCTCTTTTCATTAGCGATAATTCTTACCACGTCTGTTCGCTCTCGCTATCAGCAAGCAAAGCAGATGTGTAATTAAACTCTCTCATTACATAAAATGTTTTAATACATACTTGTAGTAGAATATTGAGCTGAGATGAGGATAGGAAGGGAAATAAGCTCTTTTACGCCATCTACTGCGAAAACTCTTGAAAACGATGAAGAATTCCAGCAGATAGTACAGGTCTAATCGCAAAGCAGATAATATATAAATAGACCTAAGGGTATTGTTCGGAGAGTAAGCCACCTTACTCAGTTCAAGGCAATGTATCCCTGTTCTTAATCACTATCTACATAGATGAGTCTCATTAGATTCTTCCGAAAATTAGGCTGCATACACAGCTGATATTTCCATCTCCTCTAGGGGCTTTTTTCTAACTTTAGCTCATAATAATAAATTCTTCTAATAATTGAACCAGTTCCTGTAATTAACTATTCGTATTCTTCTCTGGCTATATGTTTTATGATCACCGACTATTCCTCTAGCTATTCCATGATAGTATTCAGGAGACTCATTTCAGTCATACGTCTGATTTATAAAACAATTTTTTATAAATATTTCAAAGTCTCTGTTTCTCCCAATACAGCATTATTTTAATTGTTGTACAAAAATTGAAAGCTACTTAATTTTATAATAAAAGTATTAAAATGTGTCGTATATTACATCCTAGTTAAGTGTAAATACTGCTCGTTCAACTTTTTTAACTCTCATAATTATTCTGAATCTTTTTTATGAGTTTCGTTGGGATGCTAGGAACTTCGTTCTAGTAGCTCATATCTGTAATCGAGGAAAACACTGCAGAAGGAAGTATCAAGAAAATGACTGACTTACAGGTCACTCTATATATTATATTTCTTTGCTCTTTATCAGACGTTAAGAAGAAAAGTTTGAACAAAGTCGCGTAATATACTTGTAAGTTTACACTTTTAATTTTTTACGCAATAGTTAAGTAATTTCAGTAACACAAAGTTAACTTATTTTCAATCTCAAATAGTGCAAATTTTATTAAAATCTTTGTGAACCGTTATGTAAGACACGGAGAGTTCAAAATACAAAAGTTCCCTTCCTCACTCTTTGACGTATGACAGACGGGCCTGTAAACAACTGTCTTTAAAGAAAATAATTTACAAAATAACTGTTCTCGTTAAATATGCAGCAGTCGACATTGTACAAATGTGCAGGTTCTGCTGAATAACCTTCTTGGATGATTATTTGTTGTCCACAAAATGAAACTCCTTTGAATACAGAGACTCTAGAACAAGGCGTTATAAACTGTAATCCCCATTTCAATCGAAAAAGGAATTGTTGGTAGTTGGAAATTGTGCATCAGAAAGACAAGTTAATTACTCGACGCTGGGGAGGGGGTGTAGGATGGAGGGGTACTTTGTGGCTAAGACATATTTTGCAACTAGAATGTTTCTTTACTTCAGAGCATGATGAGAAATGAGGTCTTACTTTACCTCATTTTAACTTCGTCCGCTAACTCACAAAATAATTTAACGAGACCAAGAATTACAGGCTGACAAGAAATTATAGTCCCTCCTCTTACGCTTAATTTTGCGGGTCGCATAAGTGTGTTTGGGGAAAGGCCAGGAAACGTATAATTCGTTAATTAAATCTTACCGTGTCACGTTTCTCGGGCACTTCAAGGTCAATGTTAAACCAAACAAAGCAGCCATGTTGATATCAACTCTGCTTTGTGTTCGAGAGGCCCACGGTACAAATTTCAGTCCGATGACAGGCGTTACTACTTTAGAATTTTAGTAGTTTCCGTCAGTGAGGCAAATACCCGGACATTATATTAAAAACAGGCAACTACCGTTTCATTTTACTGACTTTCCAATTCATCATTTGCAAACTTATTCCACCATTCGATGCTCAACATGTAGTAGGCAGATGATAAAGCCCCGTTAAACAAATAAAGAATAAATTTAAAAAAAAATTGAAACTGAGGAGGGCCTATTTACATAAATTTCAAGAGTTATTATTTATTGTTACTTACTTGGTCTTGCGCCTTTAATAATATTAGCTACTAATTGATGATAATATTCTACTACAAAATATGTAAAAAGCGGGTAACATTGAAAGTTTACGAAATTTAATTCTCATGTCACTCCGAGCACTCTTATACACTCCTTGTAGTTCGCGATATACTACTAGACCACCAACTTAACAACATAGCGTGACGACAATTTAATCTTCCACCTGAGATCTCATGCTTGAGAAGATAAGTACTCTAAACTTAAGACTCGTCATTTTTCTTCCACAATACAAATGTGTTGAAATCCATTTCATTATTCTCTCGAGTCTTACCTACTTCTTTGTTTTGTAGAGTATTTCAGTAAGACTGAATCTATTAAACACATTCGCCTTGTGATCTGGTACTCTTCAGTGGAGGAAATAACTATTAAACACGGAGAATAGTTATGGGCAGCTGACAGCTGTGTAAACCACATGAAATTTATTGATGGGTGTTAAGACACAAATACATATCGCTGATAAGCATTCTGGGCGATCATCGGTATTATTCGCGTAGACGTTCATAAGATCGATCAACGTATCCGTCATAACCGTCGAATCATAATTTATGAAAAAGGGCAGTAATATCTTAAGATCTAATCGAAAACATCTTATTTTTACATAATCAGGAAATTTATACGCTGCTGGGCCAATATTTTGGAAATCCTGACGATTAAGTCGTACAGTAAGATCAGTGTAACAAGTCAGTGATTAGTCTTTCAAAAATTGTAATAAAATCGCCTTAATTTGTTGTTTGCCTTCATATGCCGGCGATTACCATACGCCTTTAATTACAATAATCATTAAAGATCTACCCATAATCACAATTAATATGTAAAAAAGAAAAAATGTTAAACACTTGGACAGGACAGTCATTACATGTTTTCTGGCACAGTGAGAAGAATACTATACGACAGAATCTCAAAAGCAGGAATTAGGATGATTAGCGCCAACGGGAAACGAACTAAATCAGAAACACTAATAAATTTCTGACTACAAAATAAGGAGAATTAGACAGTCTTACGTGAAGTATTTCTTTATAATTGAGAGTCACAGGCACGGGCCCATCCTATTCATTCTCCTCGGTCCCAGGTGGATCCCCGTGAAACTCTCACAAAAAGAGTCTTTACACTCAAGATCCGGCGAACGGAAGAAGTCATCACTGCGACCTTTCTTTGGCCCATCTTTTGTCCTTTATACAACCTCATGTTGACAAGATTGTAACGAGATCTTTACCGCCAGTGCGCCAACTGAAATTCATTTTCTGTATTTCATGTCAGTGCTGGAGTTTTTAACCCCACAGTTAAGTCCTAATTATTTCAGTTTCCGTGCTTCAAGGAAACATGACGCTGGGAAAAGGTTAATTTTATTTAATATTTCAGTTGGATATACCAATTAAGGGACATGAAAAGTCGCGTATATTCTCAGCTTCACACAAAAACTTACTGTTTAAGGAATGTGTATGAGCAAAATGGGCACAGGCTCAAAACCTTTTTTTGTAAACGTATAAATGAATTTCCCTGAGAGTGCTTATTTCCGTGGATAAGACTTCTGAAAAAACTGATAGCCACACAAGAACGTTCATCACTGGACTCTATCCTCAGTCACTTGAATAATACGTATTCTGTACCATCATATTCTAGTTTTATATCCACTTTAATATTATCTTACTGTCTGTTCTTAAGTCCTTCGCAATTTTCTAGTAAACTTTTGTACGCATTTCTCATGCTTCTAGTGCGCGATGCTTATGAACAA